TAATTCTGTGTGATGAACAAAATAAAGTTAAAAAAAATCTACAGAAATACAAACATTAAAATAGATAGCAGCCCAGAAAATATAATTCCTATAATCACTTACACAACCAAAAACAAGTCTGTTCACATACTCAGGGGACCCTGAGCCAGGACTTCAGGACTTCACAAAAGACCAACAAGTTTGGGTCCATCTTTATCTAAAATTTCGATCTAAAAGTGAACATCATCCTTCCAGAAATCAGATTGCCTCCAACCCTGCTGGCTCTTTGTAATGATTTGAACACCTGATTTTGTGCCAGTCAGATTTTTTGTGATAGAACTGTCTCCTGGCTGTATTCATGGCTGTATTTTATGATTTTTCATTAAAAAAAACAGAAATCATTCATGGCGGCTGCATGTTTTAATTTTTTATATATGTATATATTTTTGTGTATGTAAATCACCCAGTATCATGTATTTGAGACAGGCAAGCTATATATATATATATTTGTTTTCTTAAGTTTTCGTGGATACTTACATGTATGGTATTCAGCTTTGTTCGGGTATTTTCACACGTCATTATAGTTGTGCTTTTAAAGTAGCAATATTTCGGCAGAATCTCATCTGCCATCATCAGGCTTCTGTATAGTGTTCGTCTGTGAGTCAGACTTTCACAGCCGTTTCAGTTTTAAATTTGGGGCTAGCCTACTGCTGTGCCAGAATGGTGTTTTTTTCATCCTGATTGGTTCATGCCCTGCCACATACATTGGACAGACCAGTAGAATAAGTACCCGCCTGGATGAACACAAAAATGCAGTAAAAAAGCTGAAACACACTTCCTCACTAGTCCAACAAATGAAAGCCACAGGTCATAGTATCAACTTCAATGGCACCAAAACCCTAGCCACTATAGAAAACCCCAGCCACAGAATTATCAGAGAAGCCATAGAGATTGAAAAAAGACCTGAAAGCATGATTAGAAGAGATGATTCCACCAGACTGTCAATTATTTGGAAGCCTGCACTCACAAACAAAAAAATCTCCACACCACAAGCCAGGCAAACACCTGGGCACAAACAGATCCCCCCTGATACCTCCAGCTCAAACACACCCCAACCAGGCACCCAGATGAAACCTAGCTTCCTAATAAATGATAGCCATCGATTTACTTGGAGCCAAGCTGCGCTAAAAGCCTCCAATACAGGAAGACAATGTTGCCAGCCAATCAAGACAAAAAAAAGCCACAAAACAGACAGAAGATATTAGAAACACCAATCAAGCAGAACACAGCAAACTCCAAGACCAATAAACACAGTCCAAGACTCCCAACCAATCAGGATGAAGAAAAAACCTAGCCCCAAATTTAAAACTGAATTGGGCTGTGAAAGTCTGACTCACAGACGAGCACAATACAGAAGCCTGATGATGGCAGATGAGATTCCGCCGAAACGTTGCTACAACTTTAAAAGCCCAACTATAATGACGTGGGAAAATACCTGAACAAAGCTGAATGCTGTATTGATGACATGTACCACTAGAGGGGGCAATGTGCTAAAAGTTAAAGCTAAAGAAAATGATTGTTAGGTGACAATTTTCATTTGCTTTTGGCATATTTCTTGGGCTAGAGCCCTGGCTTAATTTTAAGACTTCTTCAATATAACTTATTTTGCGTGTGTGTGTGTGTGTGTGTGTGTGTGTGTGTGTGTGTGTGAGAGAGAGAGAGAGAGAGAGAGAGAGAGAGAGAGAGAGAGAGAGATTTGTATACCATAACAAAATATCAGTGATATCAGTCTTCTCTTTCCTTCTCCCTTGTTTTCACTAAGACACCATGGATATATGTCCAAGTTGCTTATTTTGCAACAGTCTAGAAATGTTTGATGCCTTTTCCATCTTCCAGGATTTATTTATTTTTTTCTATTTCCCAGTCAGGTATCTAGTTCTGGGATTCTCTAGAGATTTCTCATTTAAATCCTAAGCAGGCCCAATGCTGGTTATGTTCTCAGTTCAGACAAAGTTGATCAGTACTGCCACCTGCTAAAACTACTTTTGGTTGACTTGGCTTTTTAATCATTTAATTGATGGGAGTAGTTAATGTCAGGTACAATCTAATCAGTTTTTACTATCAATGTGACATAAGAAGTTGGCCTTAATATCGTTGGTTGAAATGAATAGGATTTCATGGGGAGAAATGACAAAATCATTTGGTGATTCAGCCAATGGTCTACTGCAACATGAACCTGCTATTTGTGTTTCTGTAATAAGAAACAAATGGATCCTATGAACAGTCATTAAATGAGACACATTTCTGAAGTTCTGATATACTTTAGGTCAACTTCTCCTGTCTGGTCCCTTCCTACAGCTAGCCTCATCCCCAGTTAATTCTGGCCAAGCTGCCTAGCTAGGATGGGGATTGTAATCTCAGGACATCTTAGCTGAGGAGGGCTACCATAGGTATTATTTCTGGTGGTTCGCTGAAGAAGAATCAAACTCCCAATTTTCTCCTTAATCTTATGAAATCATATCTACATTGCAGTCAGCAGTTGTCGGCTATGTTGCATATTGGTATATTTATTAAAGTTTTATTAGAAGGATTCCTTCTTTTTAACGAATGATTTCTTCTACATTTCTTTCACTTGTATTGTAAAGCTCTTTCAAGCATTCACTACACATAGATGTAGCGAATGAATCCTCTCTCTTGCACATTTGACACTAGGCTCACATTCCTATATCAGTGTGCTATATGCAGCATTGTCAAGCTCCTGTGACATGGAGGAAAGACATTACAATAGTGCAAATATCTCTTTAAAGACTGAGAATCACTATTTGGTAATAATTTGTGCTGAATATCTTGAATATAAATATCTTGCTTCCTTCCCTCCCTTTCAGTGAGAAGCTAGATTCACAAACCACATGAAGCTGACATTGGATTGTGATTTGCTAAACAAGCCAGTTGGCTGGATTTATTGATAGATTTATAAAACCCACTAACCCAAAACCAGACCCTTAATGGCAGGTAGAATCAAGGTCCTCCCTTAAATATTTGAATGCTGTTTGAGAATTTTACACTAAGAAATAGATTAACTCATTTAATGTAACAGTGAAATAAAAGCAAATGCATAGTTCTATTTCCAAAGTCTATTATCCTACCTTTACTTTTGAAAACCAAAGAATAGAATGTTTCAAGTTAAAAAAAAAGGAATATTGAATTATTACACACAAAAGAGAAAAACTGTCTTCAGAGTATAAATAAGGTTAAAGAATACGTATTAAAAAGTTATTTCAGAATTCCATGGAAAAATTTACACTTTAGGGTTTGACCTCATTACCCCTTAAAGATTAAGTCATAAAATCAAGGTGATTGTGTGCCAGAGAGAACCAGAGTAAACATCTTGCATGTAGTATTTGTCTCTGGCTTCTGCAGAGCAGACAATTGGAGCCAATAAAGCAAATCATGTGCTACTTGGAAGACAAAGAATGAAATAATCCACAAAATCACCAGCCAGTTTGAATAAGATAAAATTTCTTTATGACTTCAGATGGATGAAAAGTAATGTCACATGCCAAAAAGCAGTGTACTTCAGCACAGTAATACCTAGTAGCTTTTATAAGATAACACATATGTCTTTGTTATTTTTAAGGAAATATTGATGATTCAACAGGTGCTGTTGGCTTCATTACATTTGATCAATATATTTTCTTTATAAATATATAAATATTTATAAATATATAAAGAATATAAATATTCTTTATCAAATTCGTGACTCCCGAAAAATTTGAAAATACTTTTGCCAAATGCATTCTAGTTGTCTAAAAAAATGTTATCCATTGGAACTGTAATTTTTATTTAGCAGATGTTATATTTATGGAGAGGAAAAGTATATAACAATATGGTAAAAATAATATTTAATCTTAAACAAATTTATTTCTTATCCTAGCCTCAAACAGTTTTAGGAATATAGTTTCTAGTATGTCACTCTGGCCAAATTTTTGCCACTAAACTTTAATTTTTCTGTAGTTTTACAAAAATTATGACCATCACCACTAACAACAAAGATTAAATCTCAAGTGTAACCATGTTTCATGTTTATTGTCTGGGGGACAATGCATTTTTAAAAATCTTAATTATTTCTACTAGAGTATATTACATATTTCTCCAATATCCTCCAAAATATTCAACTGAGATAAGTGATTTATTCCCTAGTTTAGAAATCCTGATTAATTCATTGTAAGCAATTGTTTTATTTGTAGATTATTTTTACATTCAGTTCTTGGTTAATGGCTGAAATGGACTTAAAGGGAATGCTATAAAAGAATTCTCAGCAAGCTTATCAGATGTAAATCTCTTCCATACTTTCTGTTAAAAGAGCTTGTTGTATTAATGTAATCATTTCACGTAATATTTAATTATTATTTTTAATTATGTGGATATACACCATATAGATTGTGCTTTTATTTGAAATACTTAGTTGATATCAAGTTGTGACAACTCTTACACAGAATATATTAAGAAGAAACATGTTTCCAATCAACAATCTATCATTTTCTATTCTCTTATCGTTTGCATTGTTTTTGACCCAGTTTGTAATTGAATTAAGTGTAACTAAAATAAATTTTAGCCTTTGGTTAAAATTGGTTAAAACCTTTTCCTTTACTAAGACATTTTGAACAACTACTCATATGAGATCTAGTATATATCTAAAAACTACAACCGGTAAAATTACTTTGATAGGTACATCACAAAACATATTTGTGAAGACCCAAACAAATCCATTTAGATTAGACTCATCTGGGTGGGGGCATGTATGAAAAATAACTCAAAGCCATGTAGCTTTCATTGTGGTGTTTAGAGTCATGGTATACTTACAGCTTTGGTATATAATTTGTTTTAAATTGCATACTTTTTCATAATAAAGTGGCTGTATATAGAGTTTTAATACAGAAGTGAAAGGCAATCATTTCAACAGCAAGTTGCCATTGTTACAAAGGAATCAAATGTCCTAATTAGGGATGTTGCAAGGGAAGTTTTAGAGATTCTGTTAAAACCGAAAGGTGCATTACAGGGTCCTTACTGACATTTTAGAGGTCAGTTAGAGCTCTGAAATGAAGGGTTTCTGTACAAATGAGAAATGTAATCCTTGTCACTAAAGAAATGGGCAAACCTATATTAGAGTCCTTTAAAAAGCACTCAGGCTTATCCTTGTAAAGATCTAGCTGTTAAAACTGCCTTTTCCATTTGTGAATAGGTTCTACAGTTTTGTAGCTTTTCATGCATTATGCAACCCATGATTAACAGCAGATCAGAACTTAATTTAGTTCTTCAAGGAGTCAGTCTCACAAAAGAACATAAATCCATCCCTGAGGACAATTACTTTTATTCCATTCAGTCCAACAAATTGAATACAATTGTCTCTCCATCAGAGAAATTCTTTGCAAATGCTCTTGTTCAGTGACTTTGCATAATTTTTGCAGGCTTGAGTTACTGAAGTATTCAGCTTCCCCTGGGTGATTATCACCAAATCTGGGGGGAGAAATGGCTTTGGGTTTCAGGTGGAGAATTTCATAAAAACGCTACTCAATGCCACTCATTTATTTGTGTGTACAAATATCCTCACAGCCTTCCAACCCTGTGACTTTGTTATAGAAGTATTTGAAAGCAATCTTCCCTTTTGCCACAATGATCCAGCAATTAGGAGAAAAGCAAAGGTTTTTGTTTCAATAGTAACAGGATGTATTACAATTTGTCAACAATACTAGTGAAATAAATTACAGGCCAAACTTGTAAACCTTTCTAAGCACTGCATAGCTTGTGTTCCAAAAGCATCTAATTGTATTGAAATATTTGTGAAAGGCTCCCATTATATATTTTAATATACCTATTTTGTATTCTAGGAATGTGTACCGGAGAATGTAGAACTGAAAAAGAAGATTTTTTCTCAATTAGATCTAATAGTCAATAATGATACTATCCTAGCTAGTTCAACTTCGACTCTTTTGCCTACAAAATTATTCACTGGATTGAAGCATGTGAAGCAGTGTATAGTTGCACACCCTGTAAGTATCTCAAGGTATTTTGGAGATATGTTTTTTTCAAGCCTAAACGGGAAGTCAAAGGAAGAGAAATATGACTTTCATGAAATTTTTGCATGTGGTATGTGAAATTTTCGAGAGGGTATCATTCTGAAATGCAAACTTACAAAAAAAATGAGGGCTCACATTAAATCCTTGGAGACAATAGTTTTACAAACTGCCCTCGATATATGATCAAAGAATGGCACACAATTGATTTATAATAAATATATAGAGCAGCATTGTAATGAGGAATGTTTAACAACATTTGGTTAAAGTTTGTTACAATAATTGTCAGAATGCATCATGGAGATCTACTCTATAGTTTGCTTCATTGTCCTTTATATTCTTCTTAAGATTCTAGGCTTTGGCAGCTTGATTCTGATGAGAATCAGATCATGTTGCTCCTTTGGCTTTAAAATTACTGTAGGGTTGCCTGGTCAAATAATAGATCTATTAATATGCTTTCTCTCTCTCTTTAAATGGTGATGTCAAGGTAAATCCACCATATTATGTGCCGCTTGTTGAATTAGTTCCTCATCCAGAAACAGATCCCTCTACAATGGAGAAAACCTATGATTTGATGAAGACTATAGGACAATCACCAATTAAATTAACAAGAGAGATAGATGGATTTGTTCTGAATCGACTTCAGTATGCTCTTATTAGTGAAACATGGAGACTCGTTGGGGTATGTATGATTTTTATTCTGCTTCTGACTTCTTCAATCTACAATTTATGACTTAAAATTTGGCATACATATTGCACTAAGTTTTGGTTTGTTTAACTGGATTTGTTGAATAAGCCACAATTAGCATTGTATGTAAAGCACTAAACCATAAATAATAGTTTACAAAGATTGACTGAGTCTATAGTTTATACCAAATCACTATTAAATAAAACCACATCATGGCTTAGTATGATATGCAGACCTAGTCTTATAGTATATTCTTATATATAGTTACTTAAAATATATATGGGACTTACTACAAGCTAAGTATAACATTGCAGTCAGAAGTAAGTCTTAAGGAACTCAGTAAGACATCCAATAGGAGTTTCATTGATCTAATGGCTTATCAATAAGATTGATTGATTAATAAACAGACAGATAGGATTGCACTGTATATCTTAATTGTTTTCTATATGTTGCCTTTGAGCTTTGTCAGGTAGAAATGTTGGAGACTCCAGAACCACAGCTGAGGGAAATACATAGTTATTCTTTGCTAATCTGGAACAGGCTAGCGAGTGTGAGATCAAGCTGGTTGCTGGATAAGAGAGCACCATATGCTGTGAACGTTAGGTCTAATATTACTTTTCCTGTATAATTAAGTTTGTGGAGTAGAGGGAAGAATTGATCAAGAGAGAACCGGTGGCAAAAATAAATACATTACTCATTAAACATAAATTCTTTAATAAACACAATATAATTCTGCATTAAGTATAATAAAATTAAAGTAGATAACATGACTAACAAGTCAAAGTAATATTCATTTCATAATATAACAGCTTTAAGATTTTTTTTTCATATTCATCTTCTGTTGACATAATGATGAGAAGTTCGATTTTGTAGTTAACATGCTAAAGCTAAAACATGGAAAGAAACAAATACGTTTTAAACATGAAAATGAAAACATTAGAAAAAAATCCAAAATTCTTAATCTGTTAAATTGTTACTGAATTGAGGTTTCTTCTTTTATGTTAATTTCAAAGGGCATTTTCAAATACTTGTGCAGGAGCTAATTTTATTCCATGTTGCTTGAGTACTCTATTTAGTTACCTGTTTATACATATGCTATATGTATGTTCCAATTTCTTGCCTTGTTTTCTCACATTGCCATTTTGAAGAGATTGTTTTAGTAAGTGTCATGTCTTAAAGGATTGGTTTAATTATATTGATAACTTTCCATTCTGGGCTTAGCCTGTTTCAAGTAAAATGACTTTCAAATGACTTTCAAATGCTAATAAGATTAGGACTGTAGAACAGGGGTCCCCAACCACCGGTCCGCGGACCGGTACCGGTCCGTGGAACAAGTCCTACTGGGCCACTGGTTTGCTGGGCGCCGCCATCTTTTTTTGATGAAAAAGTGCTTCCGGTGAGCTTTTCCGGGTAGAAAGCTCACCGGAAGCACTTTTTCATCAAAAAAAAGATGGCGGCGCCCAGCTAATGCCGGTACCGGGCCGCGCCATAAAAAAGGTTGGGGATACCGGGCCGCGGCATAAGAAAGGTTGGGGATCATTGCTGTAGAACATCAAATACTCTACTCAAAAGAGTAGAAAACAGAAAGCAGAATTTTAGCCTTATCAGTTAAATTTGCAATCAAATTAAGGTCAGAAATTGTTGAAGAACCATTTAAAGCATGGCCATTCAGAACTGAATACTTTAACCAGATTGAGATAATAAACTGTTCATGATTGCTCATGAGTGAACCCCAATAGGTTCTTTCTTACCAGAAGACCTGTTCCTTGATTTTGGAACTTTTTAAATCTTAACTCTCTAAAGTTGCTAAACTTGTGGGAGAGTTTTGAGTTTCTTTTAACAAAAGGGAGCAGCCACTGGTCTCATAAAGTAAGTGTGAGCCAGCATATGGCATACCTTTAGTTCAGGACTCTATGAAGTCTTTATGCTATTAGTCCAAAATCATTTTGGGATGTGGGCTTTTCCAAAGGAGATATAATAAGGTTATTTTCTTTATAGTGATACAATATAAAGCCATAGCAACATTCTATATAGCATTTCTAGACATCAGTTTTGAATTTGATTCACTATGCAGAATTAAACTTCATTTAAAGAAAATGGTTACACGTGCATACCTTTCTTCTTTACCAATTGTTAAGAATGATGGAAGGAATCATAATATTCACAACAATTTTGAAATCTGTGAATTGTAAAATTTCGGTTGGATTTAGTCTTTTAAAAGTATAAACCCAGAACGTTGAAAATTTCTTAAGAGGCAGTGCTAATAGCTTGTAAGAACATGTTTACCTGAAGAATATGTGCCAATTGTAATACTGTTTCACATCTGTTCCCAACATACTTATATTTCCTGCAATTATCATTACATACAATTCATGAGAAAACACTATTAGAAATAAACTGCAGTTTATAGAGTGTGTGTGTGTGTGTATGTGTTTCTGTTCTTAGTTTGGGTCCACAAAGTTACTCCTGTGTCCTCTGGGCCTCAAAATTATTAAGCATGACCAATGGCTCCTGAAATGTGGATAAAAAACACACAGATTTTATATCAAGATGATGCTATAAATTATTAGCATGGAAATCTTCTGATTTGTGTCAATTTCTTAACTGTCTTAAATGGAGTCTGTCTTAAATGTTTATTATAAACTATTCTCTTGTTTTTTTGTTCTTGACCAATGGGAAATAAAGGAAGATATAAGGCACTTAGAGCCTCATTTTTATTATTATTAGAATGTTGGAATAATTTCTTTGGTATTTTACGGAAATAAACTTTTGTGGGTATGGATGAGGTATGTTACGTGTTAATTCCACAGATTTTTCAGGAGTTGAAAGGCAAGCAATGGATTTAATCCTGGTTTTAATTATGGTTCACCAGAATGATCCATCTTCTTACTCTGGCTAATGACCTAGGGTTGTTTTTTTTTTTTTTTTTTTTGGGGGGGGGGGGGTTGGTCATAGACTAGTTTATGAATTCAAGAAATAAGCCATTATTATTCCATTCATTATAGCATAATACTGCATAAGTCATACCAGTATGCCTTGCATAAGAAACTATGGTTTAAAATTTTGCATCATAGGTGATTGCAGCCAACTGTAAGTACATGAAGAAGTAATGTTTATAGTTTATGTATTAGCCGTGTAATTTCAACTTTCGAAAAAAAAATCTTTTGAAAAAGCCATGTAATTTCATCTTTTGAAAAAACAACTGTATTAACAGTTTAAATAATGGGGAAAGGATGTATATAGGTTATGCATTTCCTCTGGGTGTTTTGAAGCAATCAGGCTGGATCTGTAAGTTTATCACTTAACTCTCTGATTCATATTAGATATGATTGTGGTTCTCCAATTATTTCTGAACTGTAACTCCACCACAGGCCATGCTGACTAGTGCTGGAAATTCAGCAATGAATCTGTCGCTATTGCAAAGACACAATAGAGGTATTCAACTAATGCACTATATGATCTGGGTTTTTCCAATTGTAAAAAATGTGTTGTTCAGAACACTGCCAGAAGAAAGAATATAGCAGAATTTCTCCACTATAGCAATATAGCACCTATACTTACATACTGCTTCATGGTGCTTTACAGCACTCTGAATGGTTTTCAAATGTCAGCACATTGCCCCCAACAATCTGGGTCCTCATTTTACCAACCTCAGAAAGATGGAAGGCTGAGTCAACCTGGACTCGGTCAGGATCAAACTGCTGGCAATCGGCAGAGTTAGCCTGCAATAATGCATTCTAACCACTGTGCCACCACGGCTCCTATATTACTAAGGACTACATGTGATCATATATTTTGCTACTTAAATCCTATTATGAAAAGATTTTCACAAAAAGATGGGTATGATGGGTTATTTATGCCATTGTTTCTGGAATGAATCTGTGATCAAGTTCCTATAATGTTTAGCACTATGAAAAATGTAGACTACAAGTCTTCCATTACTGCTTATATTGATGTATATATGATGTTCTTCCTTTTGATTGTTTTTCATCTTACTTTTTCTGTTTAATGCGGTCTCCCTGTATAATCTGGTCTTTGTTCAGAAGACATAAAAATATTTGATTTTCTTGCCAAGAACATAAATTCTAAACTGAAATTATTGTAAAAACAATACATTTAAAAGTATCTTGTTGGGAAGAGCTTTCAAGAAACAGGCAGATGAATCTGAATAGGTAGACTTGTCCTATCTTGCTTTTTGGGTGTGCTGGTTTGCTAGGAAATGTATCCCCTGGATGTTAACTGAGCTTCAAACAGCACCTCATTGTCATGCTACGTTGGAAACTGGGAGTTGCCTCTTAATAAACCTAAGGAGCTGGGCATGTTTAGGCCATGCTGATTGCTTTCCAACCAATGTGTAATAACGTATATGGCAGTTGCATGTTCTGTAATTATCATGTTTGTCCATTTCCACCTCTGCATAATGCACATAACACACCCCACACCCCAGTTGAAAAGGTTAATGTCCTACTGCAGTGGAAACTGGTATTTTATATGATGAAAAGTCAAGCTGCAAAATATCAATGATATTGCATCATTTTTCCAAGGGCTAGTGGCAGGCAGACAATATTGTAGCATTACGGTGCAAGCCCCCCTTTTTGCATCATAGCCTCACATTCATGACTACGAAGAGCAATAGCAATAGCACTTAGACTTATATACTGCTTTACAGTGCTTTATAGCCCCTCTCTAAGCGATTTACGGAGTCAGCATATTGCCCCCAATAATTTGGGTCCTCATTTTACCCACCTCAGAAGGATGGAAGGCTGAGTCAACCTTGAGCCTGGTGAGATTCGAACTGCCAAATTGCAGGCAGCTGGCAATCAGCAGAAGTAGCCTGCAGTACTGCACTCTGACCACTGCGCCATCATGGCTCTTGAACGCAAGGTTGCTTTTGTCCTTCGGACCATAAGAGCAAGATCTCACAACACCGTTGAATATGAATGCAGGTAGTTCTCGACTTATGACCACAATTGAGCCCAAATTTTGTGTTGCTAAGTTGTCACTTGAGTTTTGCCTCATTTTATGTTCCTTTCTTGCCACACCTATTAAGTGAATCATTGCAGTTAATAACACGGCTGTTAAGTGAAATCTGCTTCCCCACTGACCCTGGGACACTGCAACTGTCATAAATATGAGTCAGTTTGCCAAGCATCCAAATTTTTTATCACATGACCATGGAGATGCTGCAACGGTTTTAAGCGTGAAAAATGGCCATAAGTCACTTTTTTTAGTGCCATTTTAACTTCAAACAGTCACTAAGCAAACTAATGTAAGTTGAGGACTACCTGTATTATAAAGGGCCTGTGTTTCTAATTATGTCCAGGACTTCTATAATTTAGAAACCAATTTTATACCATGTTCAGGAAGGCTGCATAATTTATGGTTATTAAGTCATTTTGAGAGAAGCACTCACTGTCCTGCCAAAAATAAACTCTCCTTCAAATTGAACTCAGGTCATCTAATCATCCTTTTAGATTATGCCATTGATCCCTCCGCTCGCCAGGCACAAATCACTCAAAATCAGAGGTATAATTTTGTATGGTTTTCCCATTGGCAGCTAAACAAGTAAGGCACTCTATGCCTTCAGATAAGCTTGCTACGTCTAAAATAGCAACAAAATCCCTGCAGTTCTGAATTGTATTTTTTTTTATGTAGTTTTTTTAATAATAAAAATTGACATCTTTGCACCATCCTTCCCAGCCATCAGAAATAACCTGAGAGACCATATTACTCTGTAAAGCACCATGCAGATTGATAGACTCATCAACAATTTTTGTTCTACAATTAATTTTACCCTTTTGTTTTCCAGTATTTCCTATTCACAGCAGAGGTGGGATTCCAAAAAAATTACTACCGGTTCTGTGGTTGTGGCATAGCTTGGTGGGTATGGCAGGGGAAGGATACTGCAAAATCTCCATTCCCTCCCCACTTCAGGGGGAAGGTTACCACCGGTTTTCCAAACTACTCAAAATTTCTGCTACCGGTTCTCCAGAACTGGTCAAAACCTGTTGAATACCACCTGTGCCATAAGGGAAATTATAGAGTAAATTTGAATTCTCCCATTCTTTAACATTCCTAATTAATATTTTTTCTATGCAGGATGGAGTAATATCACCAGATGATTTAGACCTTGTGATGTCTGATGGCTTGGGAATGCGTTATGCTTTTATGGGACCTCTGGAAACAATGCACTTAAACGCCGAAGGTTTGTAACTGTTGCGATATATAAATGCAGACATTTCTGAACTCAATACAGTAGGTCTTGATCAACAATTTCTGTTACTATCATGATGACATCAAAACGGTGACACATGTGCGGTAATGTGCAAATGTTGGGATTATTAACTGGCATTGTGACACCTGATGCAAGTGCATAAACCATAGCATTTCCATGAACAGATATGTGCAGTCATTTTGTCCACTCCCCAAAGTCATGATTACATCAAGAATATTCTCATTCTCTTTCTCTCTCTATATATATATGTGTATATACACACACAGATACATATATACCACACGATGTCAAACTCACGTCGTCATATCGTCGTCATGTGACGTATCGCGACTTTTCCCCCTTCGCTAAACCGGGTATGGGCATAGTCAGTGTGTGATGCATCCAGACCACCGGCCATGAGTTTGCCACCCTGATATATACACATACATACATACACGTAGTCCTCGACTTTCAACATTTCATTTAGTGACCGTTCGAAGTTACAGTGGCATTGAAAAAGTGACTCATGGCTGTTTTTCACACTTACAACCATTGCAGCATCCCCATTGTCAGGTGATCAAAATTTGGATGCTTGGCAAGTGGTTCATATTTATGACAGTTGCAGTGTCCTGGGATCATGGGATCCCCTTTTGCAACTTTCTGATGAGCAAAATTAGTGTGGAAGCCAGATTCTCTTAACAGCCGTATTATTAAGTTGAAAACTGCTGTGATTCACTTAACAACTGGAGCAAGAAAGGTTGTAAAATGGGGCAAAGTTCACTTTGTAACAGACATTTTAGGCTCACTCGTCATGTTGGTTGGAGCTATTTCTTGAAAAAATGTATCTGTTACACCATGTTTAAACATACTATTATTCTCCTGGCATGACTATAACTTTTGCATTAGCTAAAAATGATGGCAATTGCTCACTATCATGTGGTTTGGAAACGCCTGCCTTTCCAGTTCAAAGAACCACCATCTTTTTAAGGTTATTAATTTAAAACATTTTTCCATGACTTAAACTTAGTGATTGTGTTTTAGTTACATTTTAGTTCAATAGCTTTTATTATTTATTTATTAAATTTGTTTGTCGCACATCTCACTACGAAGTTTATTACCGTGTTTCTCCAACTATAGCCCCCCCCCCAATAGGAAGACCCAGCATGTTTTCTGGGCATAAAATGAAATTAATTAAGCCCCTCTCCCCAAATTTAGGCCTATTTTAAAACATGCTAAATGGGGCGAAGGGTAGACTTGCCGTTAGGAGCGCCCCGCGGGCAGCCATGCCTTACCACCAGCTGTCCCTAATGGGCGATCATGGTGGAACACGGAGAGCTCCCTACTCCTGCCAAGCACCTTTGCTGCAGACCCGGGACCTTCAGCACCCGCCGCTGTTCATTTCCCTTCTGCCCATGCCGCCACCGTGTTTGGAGCTGTCACTTCTACGTTTGGAGCACTGCCGCTGTTTGGAGCACCGCCGCCATTTGGAGCTGCTGCTTCAGCATTTGGAGCTACCGCCGCGTTTGGAGCACCGCCGCTGTGTTTGGAGCTGCCACTTCCGCGTTTGGAGCTGCCGCTTCCGTGTTTGGAGCACAGCCGCCATTTGGAGCACCACCGCTGCGTTTGGAGCTGCCGCTTCCGTTTTTGGAGCACCACCGCCGTTTGGAGCGCCGCTGCCGCTCCAAACGCACTCCAAAAGGCGGCAGCGTTCCAAATGTGGCAGCAGCGCTCCAAACAGCGGTGGCGCTCCAAACATGGAAGTGGCAGCTCCAAACGAGGCGGCAGCATGGGCAGAAGGGAAAGCAACCGCGGTGGGTGCCGAAGGTCTTGGGTCTGCAGCAAAGGTGTTTGGCGGGAGTAGGGAGCTCTCTGCGCTCCGCCATGAACACCCATTAGGAGCGGCTGGTGGTGAGACTACCCGCAGGGCGCTCTAGACGAGGATGCAAGGGGGGGAATTAAATCACCCAAAAAAAGACGACCTAGCTGTTCTTTCAGTGCTCAAAAAAATATAAGACCCAGCCTTGTTTTATGAGAAACACGGTATTTATTATTTGTAAAACTGAAGTCTCCCTTGTATACGGAAAGATCAAATATAAATTAAACAAATAAAAATAATAAACTTCCAACTGGTTTTTAGGGCCTAGAAGGAAACTTTGCTGTCTCACTCCCCTTTTCTAACAGGCAAACCCATTGTTCCTATTTAAATTTGACGAGCTGTCTCTGGTTTTGTGGATTTTGAAAATTTGTGAAATCTATTCCATATCATTTCCACATGCAGATAAGAGTTTTCTAAATTGATTTAACAAGAAATCATTTGAGTCTACTGGATCACTGAAGCTTTCTCAAGCCTCTTGTTCCATCCTCAACCAGCAAAAAATGTATTTTCTAAGTTGCATCATTATTTTGGAAGAAATAATGTAATATTTCTAATTAATAATGTAATTAAAACAGAGGTGGGTGGTTTGGTATCTTCCAGAAGTTTTTGCCACAGCTCCTACAATGTTCTACTTTGGAACATGTTGCTTGAGATTATGAGAATTATAAACTAAATAAAACATACTGTTGAAAACCACATGCTTGGATTTATGCAGACATGGATGCCTAGAAGAGGCATTGTTACATGTTTGCCTAACCATTTGAAAACAAATAATACTGTAGCCCTATTCAAAAGCCTCAGGTCTCTTCACCTAGAGCAGGGGTGTCAAACCTGCGGCGTCACATTGTCGTCACATGATGTATTACAACTTTTTTCTCCTTTGCTAAACTGGGGGTGGGGGTGCCCCCCCACATAGGTGTGACGCATCTGGCCCGCGGCCCGCGAGTTTGACACTCCTGACCTAAAGCTTCCCCAATCTATTTTTGTACAGAATGTTTGCTTGAATTTAATCTAATAAAAAATTTAAGCATTAGAATGTGCGCACACCCATACTCCATCCAAGAACATTGCTTAAAGTGATCATTCTGTGTATGTGTGTGTGTATAGATAGATAGATAGTTATGCGCCATGTCCTTATTAGAGCTGTAAAGAATTGTCTAGTGTCTCTCAGCCATTGGTGAGTTCTGTCTGCTCAAGGATGTTTAAATAACCATAGAAGACGATATTAGTCAATGCTTCTCAGTTTCAGAAAGTTTAAGATGCATGCTGGTTGTGGGGATTCTGGGAGTTGAAGTCCATACATTGGAAAATTGCTGAGATTGAGAACTCACGATGTGAGCAATTGATGAGGATCCTGCTTTAGATGGGAATAAATCCCAAGGATACCTGTGAGACTTACCTCAAAGTAAACAGGTACAGGAGCAGAGTTTCAGCTTTCATTTCATCTCTGTATCCATCAGTAGAATACTGTATGCCAGAAGCTTTGGGATAAAGAGCAAATGCCAACAGCAAGTCATTGTAAACAGAAAGAGAAAAGAAACATGAGAACAAAAAGAAACAGAACAAGGACAAAGGAAACTCACAGTGTTTTTCATAGGAAAAGGTAGTTTAAGGACACCCAACTGAATTAATACAAATAGTGGTGAGTACTGATTTTGTGTCCTGGAAATGGACATTTTAACATTTTGGCAGAGTGGCACTAAAACACTTTTAGTAAAAAAAAACCAAAAAAAAAAACCCAGCAGTGCAGTGCTACTAAAACAATTTTCTCAGATACCCTATTACAGTATCATCATGAAACAACGGACCTCCTGTGCGTGGATCCAATCTTTTCAGGTTCCGCAGAAGTGGTAGGATTACCTGCTTGTTTTCAGCCTTCCCAAAAATATTTTAGGACAGGCTATTTGGCTTTTGACAACCAAAACCTTAAATAGCTTCACCTGAATTTGCTTTTTTAAATCTCAGTACAGTTCATGCAAACAGGAAATACATGTCATTAAAAATGCATAACCTAGGGTTTTAATTTTTTTTTTTAGCAAAAGTACTTTTTTCTACTTGGTTTAAAAAAAAACAGATTACAATTGTGATCTTTATAATGTAAACAAGTAACAGCTTTAAAAGGCTTCTCGGCTGTTACTTAACTATAGCCATTTTAAAATGCTCTGAAGCTCATAATGTGCCATCACCCCGTTGGAGCCAGAGTCTGCAGAGGAGGATGAGCCGGAGCTGGAGCTGATGGAAGAAGAGTGTGTGGCCTTGTTGGCTCCGGAGGAGCAGGATGAGGCAGCTTCCAGCCAGGAAAGGATTGCCAGCAAAGAAGAACAGGTGCAGAACGATCGAGAGAGGGGAGAAGAGAGGGAAGGAAGGCAGTGGAGCAGAGGGGTGATGGAACCCCAGTGACAAGCAAGGCCCGCTCCTTCCTGATCCCTGAGCGTGGAGAGGAGGCAGGGGCAGTGCAGGCCAATCCAACAACTTGGGAGGAGAGCACCCCACCCCTCTTCACAAGGCTCACCTGGGGAAAGTTGGAGCAATAAAGGGGAGTTAGAATTGTTCTCCAGCTTTTTCCATGACTCGGGTCATCACATAATGGCTAAAGTGTGTTGGGGAATTCTCATTAAACATCATTGCGTGTGTAAGCGGAAGCAACTAATATTTTTATTAGTTCTGCTGTTAATGCTTTAGAAAAACTTGGGAATTCTCTTTTTTCCATTTTGTTTCTGCAAAAATTGCAGAATATAAAAAGAGGCACAATTACAATTGAAAATCAAATGCTTTTCTGACCACTCTCTTAGAGATATTTTGAAATAGTATATCAATTGGCTTAATATATGACCAATAGATGTTTGTAGTCTATTCATGTTTACTCAGAGTGAACTCTTTACACTTCCATAAGTTTTAGTAAATAAATAGGCCAAAGATTGCAGACTTTTGGGCATATTTCTTGACATTAGGAGTAGGAATTTTCTTATATTCATACAGTTTGCTTTTTGGCATCTGTAGAGTCTTGATTTTACAGCCAGCCACTTACACAAATATGATTAAATATTTTTATAAATTAAATAACAAATACGTATACGTACATTAGTCACAAGTAACATTTGAAATAATTCAAACTTCCTGGAAGTAGCTGAAAAATGGGAGGTCCTTTTTTAAAATATTGATATGAATCTTTTCTAACATTTCATTAGCTGTCTTCCAATATTGGTCCTTTTATTTCCTGAAATACTGCAGCTCAATGTTTTTTGAACTGGATGCTACACAACCTTTGTTTTGGCTCTTCCCCCAAGAGTCAGCTTTGGTTTTACGCCATAGCAGCTGGGTTCCAAGTGGAACCCATTTCCCAGACTTGGCTTGTCCCCCAACATTCCCAGTCACCTAACAAATCTAAACTGCTTTGGCTTACACCATGGTCTAGCAGCTGATTTGTATGGCTCATTATGTCTACAACCTTTGGAGCAGGCAAACATGTCACCATGTGATCCACAAGATGTTTATATTTTGTTTGTAAAGGTCAAATTACAATAAAAATCTCCCCCCAAAATTTCCTGGAGGTATGTTTTCAATATGAGAAGATTTTATCATCCACAGACTGGCTTCCTCTTTCATTCTCAATGTCTTCCTCCTTCTTAAAAATAAGAAATTCATCACCTTGGAAGTGGGAAAAAGTTATATCTTGAAGGGTCTCATCCAGCTATCTGTCTGGTGGCCTAAGTGTCCCCAGTTCAGCCACTCTGATTTCAGGGGAATGGACCTGCTCTCGAGGAAATATTGCCAACCAGCAGAGAGCCATACCAGTTGGGGGACAAGCCAAGTATATGTATATGTAATAAACCAGAAAATTAACTCCCTTCTCCTGCTGGCTTTCTATTTTCATGTAGTTATTCTTGGTGACTGTCTATTCTTTTTAAGAATTGTTTGAAGTAGAAGGTGAATATTTGCTGTCTGCAAAATGGCCAGCTGTGACCCTTTAAGATCTCTCAGTAGTCAGCCCAGAAATGTGTCACTATAAAAGTTGAGCAGAGGAGCAGTTGTGTTTGGTGTGGGTTTCAGAAGGAAGGTGGTTTGTGTTCATTTGGGAAACTAAAACAGCCTAAACAGCCTAACACAAATATAAGAGTTACTGTTTTGCAGAAATAGGTTCACAAAGAGATGTAGTGGGGAATAAGAAGTTGTAGTTGAAGAAAAAGACAAGGGAGAAGTGGTATACTAAACTATGAGTACTAGTCTTTGAGTACTGATGGTGTGTTGCCAAGAGGCCAGGAGTTGTGTTGGCTCCCTTGGAGTTTTGGAGTCTAGTAACCTTGGTATACATAAAAGAACCTATGATGCTTATATTTCCAGAACCTTGAACTCTGGATTCTTCATCCAAACTCTGAATTTATCTTGATGTTTTGTCTCTGAAAATGGGAGATTAGTAAATTCTTTCTTCTGTTCACCTAATCCCCTCTTCCTGTTTGCTCTCCCGTTTGCAATCTCCCAAATGTTTTTTCTCTTAATGCTACTTAGGACTAAACTGTTGGCTAAGTATTCACTCCATCAATCAATTACCTGCAGCTTAAGTTCCTGTTTTTAATAGTATGTGGGAATGACTTTGGATGACTGGGCCCAAAGATGCTGCCTACAAAATGGTCAGATAAAAGACAGCATCATCTGCAGTGGCATAGTGCGTAGGATAAGATACTCAAAAGAGATCTTCCTAATTAGTTGGTAAAGGAGAGAAAGGTAGAATTGTTCTTCCAGATTTGCAAGATTCGATAATATAGCTTTACAACAAGTAGAATTAGCTCACCTGATTGGGTTTCCTGTCTGGTTTACCTGATGGAGCTCCAAACTCTATATTCTTTAAATAAGCAAATGCAGTAGTTCCTTAACAATAAGAAAAAAAGCAATTATCCAAACAACCCTCAAAAACAAAGCTCCTTTATATCTATTGACTGTTGTGTTTGCTTGTTCTGCTCATAAGCTCCCAGCTGCTTCTCTTCCCTCCAAAATAATGCTGGCTGAAATTATGAGTGTTATTAAACAGTCTGAACTTTTGAATCACTGAGATCAATCTCAAGAAAGAAGATTTTTGTTAAATGCAAAATACATCCTACTTGGAAACAAAGAAGTTCTCAAAGGATGGTATGGAATTGTTTTCCTTGGAGTTTCATTCTTTGAAAAGAATTAGCAGACAGCTGTTTGGAACCCCTAGACAGGAAAAAAAATTAATTCTAGCCAGTCAGTAATTCCTCTCAAATTCAGTGGTAGACTTGCTTTGTTTGGGAAACATTAAACAGTTTCCAATTCTCTTTCAGGAATGCTGAACTATTGCGATAGATACCGTAAAGGTATTATCCATGTCTTGAAAACCTTTGGACCGGTGCCAGATTTTGCTGGGGAAACAGAAAAGAAAATCAATGAGGTAGGCATACAAACTGAATATCAGACTGAATTGGCAAAATGTATCGGCTGCATTAGCATATTAGATGTTCTACGAATTTATCAATTTTGGGTTACCTTAGCAATAGCATTAGCACTTAGACTTATATACCACTTCACAGTGCTTTACAGCCCTCTCTAAGTTGCTTACAGTGTCAGCATATTGCCCCCAACAATCTATGTCCTGATTTTACCCACCTCGGAAGGAAGGAAGGCTGAGTCTGGTGAGATTTGAACTGCCAAATTGCAGGCAGCTGGCAGTCAGCAGAAGTAGCCTGCAGTACTGCACTCTTAACCATTGCACTGCTGTGGCACTGTGCCTTTTATTTGAGTTAGTTAATTTTTTTTTATCATTTTGTTATTTGTTAGCAGTCTTGTGCTTTGCTGTGTTGTTGACACACATAAACTTCAGCATATAGAATGCATTACAGCCAAATGTGCTTCTTTATATGCATTACATTGTTCCTATTGTCAAATGGAGGTTAAGAGCAAAACGGAAATATGACTGTGATTTTTAAGAAACAAAACCAACTTTTACTCTGCAGGTCCCCAAAATATGATATTTTGTTTTAGATAGAGATTATATATATGGTCCGAAGTGGGATAAAATGCTCAGGTTTGGTATGTTTTGATTGCACCATTTATTCAACACACGTGACTGTTATTAAATGAAATGAATTATCTTCTGTATTTAGCAAACATACAGGTAGTCCTCGACTTATAACTGCAATTGGGAACAGAATTTTTGTTGCTAAGAAAGAAGGTTGTTAAGTGAGTTTCACCCAATTATATTACTTATTGCCATGGGTGTTACGCAAATAACTGGAACTATTAAGTGAATCACACGGTTGTTAAGTAAATTTACCTTCTCCCATTGTCTTTGCAATTGGAATGTCATAAACACGATCCCATATTCCAGGGACACTGCAATCATTGTAAATACATGCCAATTACCAAACACACTGATTTTGACCAAATGGCTGTGGGGATATTGAGACAGTCGTGTGAGGACCAGTTGTAAGTTACTTTTTTGAGTGCTGCTATAAGTTTGAATAGTTGTTCAATAAATGATTGTAAGTCAAGGACTATCTGTTATGAATATGAATTCATTCACTGTTCTTTTTTTTTAAGCCATTCATTCTTTCCACTGCAAGACAATTTTCTGTCCAGATTCACATTCCTTAATGTAGTAATTCCCTGCCCAATCATTTTTATGCTGGGATCCCCAGTACTTATTTAACCTCTAAGATCTGGTTTCTAAGGACTGTAGTACCTTTTAAAATTATGTAAAAATAGGGAATTATTCATCTGTATGTCATTCTGTAATTTGCTTCCTAAAGATACACGTATAAAAACATCTTCAAATCCAGTGTGTTTTATAATATGTATGAGGAGAAAAAGTAGTCAGATCAGCAGTGGGATTCAATTTTTTTTAACTACCAGTTCTGTGGGCGTGGCTTGGTGGGTATAGCAGAGGAAGGATACTGTAAAATCTCCAGTCAGAGGTGGTATTTGCTGGTTCTCCAAACCAATCAAAATTTCCGCTACTGGTTCTCCTGAACTGGTCAGAATCTGCTGAAAAGCACTTCTGAGTCAGATGATTAAAGTATAATCTGAAAATCAGTATGTCGGCCTTATTTTTTTAGCTTCAGAAGGCAAGTTAGGAATGGGGCAAGGTAATTCACGGCCAAGTTAAGAACAGGGCAAGATAATTGTAATTGGGCCACCATCTTCTTTTATTGTTCAGAGGTTTAGTAAAGCAAAAAAAGTGAGTTCTCTTTCTTTGGCTTGAGGTTTTTATTAAATAGGCCATCATCACATCATATTTATTTCTCTAGGATTTCACTGTCAAAAAAGATGGCAAAATCCTAAACCCATTTGTTCTGGATAAACTCTCAAGCCTTCATCCAGTGCCAACACTCAAATATCTGGTTTCCATGTAATAGAGATAGGATAGCTCTGATGGAAAGGGACAGGCATGTTATTGTTAACAACCTCACAATGTAGGACATAGTTTGGTGACATGGTGAGCAGGGAAAAATGAGAAGGTGAATGAGAAGATCTTTTCAAAAGCAGTAGTGTTTTCATCGCAGCCTGATGGTCTCCCGATGTGTCAGATTACAATTCTTGGAACTGTCAGTCATTATAACCAATGGCCCACTAGTTTGGAATTTGGGGTGATGTTCCCTGAGATATTTGACAATAGCAGGTTTTGCCAAACATTGCAGTAGCACATAAGGTAAAAACATTGGAAAAAGATATCTTAAATGTTTTAGAAGTCTGCAAGGATTAGAGGAGCCACTTTTATTATCATTAACACCAGTATACTCATGCACATAAGAACAAGTTGTACAGATTGGAAAAGAAAGGCATTTTTCTACTTAAAAATGTTGCTGTTCCAGTGTGAGGGAGATGTGATGTCTTTTCATAAATGAAATTATGAGGTGGGGGGAACATGTCAAAATTTCACCTAGGGCAGGCACTCATTTGTGAGCTATTGGAGCCAAGTTGGAGCTACTGTGCATCAAGAAAGACGTATCAACAAGTTACTCCATGATATCAAAAAGAACAAACCTACCATCACTTTAGAAGTCCTAAAATAGCAGTCCCCAACCTTTCCAGCTCCGCAGATTGGCAGTGGTGCTGGGTGAGGGGATGGTTTCACGCACATGCCTGCCGCTTGCACAAAAGTAGCTTTGTGTGCTTCGCCCGTTGCTTGTGTGACCCAGTTCCCAAGGGACCATGATCTGGTACCGGGTTTTAGAGTTAGGGTCCCCTGCCCTAAAAGACAAAATAATCCCTCCCTTGTAAAAAGAGCAAAGCATGCTATGGCCACTTGAAGATGTGTGGACATCAACTCCCAGAATTCCCCAACCAATTCCCCCAGCTAGCTGTGGAATTATGGGAGTTGAAGTCCACACATGTTCAGTTTGCCAAGGTTGTAGAAACACTGTTTTAGGGGGAATGCTGTTGGGCTGACTGGTTGGTTTCCTACTTAAACAGTCTCAGCTAGATGGCAGCACTTAACTGACCTTAACTGGTTTAAAAGCTAAGCAGGCAAGGACTGTTGAACAACCCTTGCCTAGTGTCAGTGGAGATTTTCAGTCATCCAGTTCATGGTTGTCCCAAAGGTGTTTTTTTTTAAGAGGCAACTGGACTTTCTGGTTTTTCTTTGAAGCCGTTTCACTTCTCATCCAAGAAGTTTCTTCAGCTTTGACTGAATGGTGGGGAATGGAAGAATTTATACTCCTTGCAGACAGCTGGACATTTGCATTGTTTTAGCCAGTCATTAATGTCACGCGGAGGTTTATCTGTGTCATCAGGGTCACCTGAGTGGAGCAAATTTGTGTAGAGCCTTCTTGGAACTATTGAAAGGACTGTGTTATAGATTCAACAGTCCATGTACATTTAAAAGACACAGGCCACTCTTTTGAAGACAACGAAGTCCATGTTTTGGAAAAAGAGGATCACTGGTTTGAAAGAGGGGTCAAAGAGGCCATCTATGTCAAAATTGAACAGCCCTTTCTCAAAAGAGGGGAAGGGATACAACAACATCTATCTCCAATCTACAACACAGTCCTTTCAACAGTTCCAAGAGGGCTCCACACCAGTTTGCACAACTCAGGTGACCCTGATGACACAGGTAAACCTCCAGGTGGCCTCAACAAGTCTCTAAAAGAATGCAAATGACCACCTGTCTGCAAGTATAACTCCTTCCATTCCCCACCATCCAGTCAGAGCTGAAGAAGTTTCTTGGATGAGAAGTGAAACGTCTTCAAAGAAAAAAACAGAAAGTCCAGTTGCTAATTCAAAAAAGCATCTTTGGGACAATCCTTGCCCAGGAAACCACCCCCAAATCCAGATTAAACTGGAAAGTAAAAAAAAAAAAAAAAGACAGTGGCAGTTCATTTCCACACCATTGCAAAGAAAACTGTGTGGACACGATCATAGGTTGTGCCATGTCGAGCTGTCCTAAAGCAAACCTTTATCTTAATGTGTAGCTTATTTTGTCTTTCAGGCCATGGTTAAAAAAACTCCAAGTGATCCAGAGCACCTAAATGCCAGGAGAGAGTGGAGGGATGAATGCCTTGGGCGTCTGGCCAAACTGAAAAAGGATATTAAATCGGATGACGTGAACCACTTTTAAATCACAGAAACGGGCATCATCAAGTTGGCATTCAAGAGGACACCTCCCTTCCATGGCCAAACATGCAAAAGCCAGTTGAACCACTTAAGTCAATTATTTAAAGCTGGAACATTTTTATCTGAAAACGTTTCTAGATGATATTTTAAAGGTACAATCTTAAACCCCCTGGTTGAGAATCTGGGAAGATTGTTGGTCCTCCATGTCATAGCTGTCTCTCAGGTGCTTTTTTTTTTCTCAAGAAAAAAAACCCAACCCCAGTCCAGTTGCCTTTTTTGGGGGAAAAAAAGTACCTTTGAGACCCTTGGTTGAGGTGCTTGCATTTTGTGGGAGGGCTGCATAGAAATGTATTTGTTGAGAGTAACTTGTGATTTTCATCATTGAAACAAATGGGAGGCAAAGCAAAATCAATTTTAAACAAAATGCTGAACTTCAAAAACCGCATTGCTCTTGGGCCTCCGTAATGAAAAATATTTTTATACAGAGGTAGTTTTTTAACTTGCAATTGAGTGATAACTAGCCCAGAATTAAGGTAATAAATAATGTTTACCTGATTTTATGACTTTTTTTGTGGCAGTCATTAAATGCTGTCTTTATTAAAACAGCACATTTTGCCAGAAATTGGAAGTAAATGCTGGACCCCAGAAAACCCATAAACCACAGTCACACGACCGTGGGATCCTGCAAATGGCTGTAAATGTGGCCTGGTTACTAAGTGTCCAAAACACAGTGGGAGGGAATGGCCATCAAAACTTGAAATCCAAGTTGCAAATTTTTTTGGGTGGTGGTGGTGGTGTTCCGTCATAACTATGAATAGTTGCTAAGTGACCAGTCATAAGTCAAGAACTACCTGTATCAGTTCTTGGTTCATATTACTCTTAAGCTACAATGTAACAGAACGGTAATATTTATTTTAAACTAACTTTTAAAAGTCTTGCTTATGATCAATTTAGCCCAAGCATCAATTACATTTTTGCATGGATATAATAACTATTTTGGCAATGAGGCTGAGAAAAAAAAATGCTGTTTCTGGCCTACGTTCTCTTCTGTTCATATATTTATAGGCAGGATAAGCCATGATATCCAAGTTTGTACTTATTCTGATTGTAGCCAAATAGATTTCCAAAATTAGTTTTATAGGGATGGGTCTTTTTTCAGATTATTGTGTTTCACATTATAGGCTTTGTGCTGTATTGACGTATTGCGCAGATTGGCAATAATACCAATATGGGAACAAAGGACTAGAAGATATGATAATGTAGACCATAATTTGTTCCCCTGGCAATTCTTTCAGCTACAAGGGGACATTAGCTACTAAGACTGGAGTTGTGTCCTTAACAATTCCTTCATTTTATGTCATGAGTGCTTTAGGATTCTTTTCCAAGTAGCAAATGCACTAGATTAGAGTTCACTGTTAAAGTATTATATTAGATGTAGAAAATTCTTAGTATTATACAACATTACCAATTGGCTGCAAAAATAGACACAATAATTTCAAAGCAAGATTTCCTTGCAGTTTCCTGACTCTGTGGTTTCTTCCCCAAACCCCAAAAACTTTAACCTTAGACTGTCTACTTTTGACCTCACCCCTTTCCTAAGAGGTCTGTAGGGGGCGTGCATAAGCGCACCAACGTGCCTACCGTCCCTGTCCTATTGTTTCTTTTATTTTTCTTATATGTACCCATTTCATGTATTCATAACTATGTATATACTTATACCTATTATCTTGTAAGCGATTGACAAATCAAAATAAAAAAATAAAATAAAATATTTCATCATTGCCCCAACATCTGATTGAAACAATTGTTGTGGAGAAATAGGTGACTTGGGTTTTAGCGTTGCTGACTAACAAACTTACCTTTTTGTAAGGTCAATATTCCTGAAAGCCTGGTAGTGAGAGCTCTTTAAAAATTGCACTCAGAAGAATAAACTCCAAGAACCCTGAACTAAAGGCGAGTCCATGGACTATAAACTGAAATACCTGTACATCTCTGTCTTCATCACATGTATGCAATATGGGGAATTATTTGGGGTTTTCTATATGTCTTAACCTACACTGGAGATTGTTCAACTGAGGAAGCATATCCTTGTCGTCTTTGTGACGTGTGGGTGATAATTGTGTTAGCAAGGCTTTCTTGAGGAAGCTGCTTAGTTTTGGGAATTCCTGCAGTTAGGAGATGAACCTAGTCTTTTGTGACATTTTATAGCTTGTCCTGACAAGATTGACTTTCAGTGAATTAATGATCATAATCATGTAGGATTTCATACTTGGCTGATGAGGCTGTCTATTTTTTTTTTAACTGAGCATGATTGTGTTATGAGTTTTTATTAATATTGTCATGGAGGACTTCTGTTCCAAAATCAATAACTTGCCATAATGTTTAATGTATTTTATTTCCAGGAATATGTTTCATTAACTATTACAGTAGATTTCATCAGTACAAAGCTCCGGAAATTAATACATTAGTACAAGCTCAAGACATTTAATTAGAAGAAATATTTAAAGGTATCATTGAAGACTCTGCAATCATTACATGATGTTAAATTGCAAAGTTCAAAAACTCTAAATTTTATGTTCCTTTTTATTTTGAAAGCTGATGAAATATCTGTACATAGGTGATCTGCTTACTAATAAATATCTTTATTGAAATCAGCCTTGTATATTTATATGCAATTATTGTATTATTTTTCATTTTAGCTTTTTATAGTCAAGGATCAGTTCATCGGAATCATTACACAAGTAACATGAATTGCCATGACACAGAATTAATGCATACTAAACTGCCTCGCCTGGATTTCTTTGGGTATAATGGACTTGTCTATTGTTTGGGCATGTGGGAATATTTAAATCAAAATTAGATTTGTTGAATCTGAAATAGGGGTTCATTAAATGGATGTTTCCACTTGTATTGCTAAACTGCAATACAAATTACCATTAAGTGCATTAAAAGGAAATGAAATTGATCAGGCAGGCTTTATCAACAGAAATTCCCTAACTCAAGAAGGGACTCTTGACTTGGTGTCAACATGATTGCAAGATCATGGCAACATTTCTATCAAGAGTTCATGGCAACATTTCTATCAAGAGTTTTAATGCTAGAACATCATTTGGAGAAGCGTCTTTCTTTCAAGTGGGCATCATAAAGAAAAGGATTTCTTTAGCTATTTGGGTCTGTAGTTATACAAGCTTAATTTGAATGCACTTTAGAAACCAATAAGTTAATATGACATTTGTTTCAGAATTATCCCATTTGGTCTCATCTTTCTAACACTTTAGCCAAATTCTTTTGAAACTGAACTTTCAGAGTTTTTTTCAAGGGCAGCCCAACATCACCATATGTACCAATAGCACATTGCCGTAGGTAGTTCAACCATGAGGTTGGCAGGGCATGGAGCGCTGAGCCAATTATTTCCATATTGGATTTATGGCAGTTGATTCTGAGCAATCAAAGCAATCTGAGTCATCAAAACATTCATATATTATTGTATTTGGAAATAGATATACCTGCTTAAAGATTTGATGTAACGTATCTATATAACACCAAAAGTCCCCAAACCACTGAAAGTGGAACATAAAATGAACATTTCCTATTAATATTTTTTTTTTTTGCAGAATTACCTGTTTGTTTAGTATACATTCATAATCTCAGTGGTACAACCTATTGAGTTTACAAAACATGAAGTACAAATGCAATTTATTAAAATAATTTCCTGGCAAGGATTCTGAGCAACAGTTTTATTTTGCTTTTAAAAATCATACAAATAATTATTCCCTATTCAGTTCATCAAGAATGCTGTCCTAAACTTAAGTGAGACATTTGTATAAACAGATACACCTTTTTACATTAAGTAATTTCACTAATCGGCACAGGGAACTCGATCAAATAAGTAAGAAAATAGTTAAAGATCAATCCATTCATTATTGGGACATTAAATCCTCCCTTCAAACACTGTACAAGTGAGTTAGTTGTAAAGGCTCATGTCATATGTCTCTAAATCAACTTGAAACCTATTAAAAAGGCATTGCATTCTTCCAGTAAATCAAGGCAGTTTGTGATGGATTTTTACATAATCCCTTTTGGGTGCAGCAACAGACAGTGGATCAGTGCTACGTTCCTAGAGGGGGATGACTGCATCCCCCATGCATGAGACAATGTCTTAGGAGATGTATGAATACCACCACGCCATTCTTTTGAGAAGGCAAAGTTGTGTCTTCTGAAATCTATCCTTTGAAGCTAGAAAACCTGAAAGGAGACCATTTATGAGGTAGGGTTCCATTGAATATGTGTCTACAGCTTTTCTTCAAGAGGTTATAAACCAAGGTACTAATGCATTGGATGGAATTATGATGAAGTGGTTCAAATTTTAATAGTTGCAATTCAAAATCTATTGGTCTGTCTTGTTTTATGCAAGGGAATGCAGCAGGTTTATATGCATTTGTGTATGTATCTAGGAATACAATAAGGCAAACATTTCAAGAAGGAAGTTGAATCCATGAGGAATAATTTGATTTCTGCTTCATGCTTGCCTGGCATTTAGAAGTTTGTTGTACATGGAACATACTGATCTTTTCATGCTTGCAAGATAAATATTTTAATCATATTTACTAGTAGTTTCCTGCATCAAATATTATAAGTACAAATCATTGACTAGGGTTTTTGGTGAGTGACAAAATAATGTTGGGAGGAGATGCTGTGTTCATTAGAAAATTAGTTCAAATTAAGATCACCCTTCTCCTTTTATTATAGTTGTTTTATCACCACAAAATTATGGCGGTGGTAGAGACAGGAAATGCAATATTGTCTGTATTATTCACACCATGAACATTAGTAGAAGATGTAGTGTTAAGTCTGATTAGGATTAATTTTGCTTTGTTCTTTTGTTTCCTGACTGAAGAATATTGCATTATCTGCTTAAATTTCCTTCTGCTATTTCCATTTTAAAACTACTCAAAATATATAGATATACTTTATATATAGTTTCTGTCAATACTTAAACAAGCTAGTAATGCACGGTGATTTTAATCAGTTACTCCCCCAGACTAAGTCTTTCAGACCCACCATCATTCACAAGGCAAATGATATTCCTTTCAAAAGCTCAGATAAACAAGAACCTAAAACTATGATGCTATAGTCTTAAGACAAAGCCTTTGTCTAAGATATTAATGTTTTGAACTGAAAGTTAATTTTTGACAATTAATCTTTACAATTAAAAAATGAATTTTTTTCTGACAGATTTTAGTAATATAATTTTAAATTTTGAAATATTCTATGAACCATTTGTAAAATTTCTCTTAATATAATAATGTCACTAGTGAATTAATTCCTTTATGTGTTATTATGTTGAATCAATTTATTTCAAGTTTTTAATATAATTTCTAGA